GCTCTAACTCTATCAGCAAGTAGATAGTGTTTAACTCAGAATTGAGTTATTGTAGGACACCCAGCTGGTGTCGCAGAATCTCTTGGTGTGGAAAAAATTCCTACACAGTTGGTGGCCAGAAGTGTCAGAAGTGACAGAAGTGGTATGAGTACACAGAAAACAGGTGCAGCTTTTCCTTTACAGCTTTACCGGGGAAAGAGGAAACAAGAGGTCAATAAGNCTATCAGCAAGCAGATAGTGTTTAACTCAGAATTGAGTTATTGTAGGACACCCAGCTGGTGTCGCAGAATCTCTTGGTGTGGAAAAAATTCCTACACAGTTGGTGGCCAGAAGTGTCAGAAGTGACAGAAGTGGTATGAGTACACAGAAAACAGGTGCAGCTTTTCCTTTACAGCTTTACCGGGGAAAGAGGAAACAAGAGGTCAATAAGAGAGCCCCCTGAACTTCTCATCCCAAGGGAGCTGAGCCAGGGCAGCGGTGGCTGGGCCTGCTCCATAGCGTGCCCTGCAGCAGAAGGGCCTTCCTGCCGTCACTCTGCCTTGGTTTGGAGCTGGCCTGAGAAAGTAGCCTTGACAAAGAAGGAACACCAGACTGCTTGGCACCACAGTCTGGATTTAGGGGGCCAGCCCATTATAGGAGTTGTCTGAGGATCCCAGCACCAGACACCTCAGGCCTGTCCCCAGCTGACCAGGGAGGGAGGCACAAAATACATGGAATAGCCCCCAGTCTGATGGTAAGCTGAGCTTGGGTGTGGCTCCTCTCATCCAGAGAAGGAAGCGGGGAGACTCCTAGCTAGCCCATGTTCAGGCCACCCAGAAAGTCCAAGGTCATGTGAAGAACCTTGTCTGTGACATTACACATCACATCCAGGGGCATTTCCCCACTCCCTCTCCAGAGCAGCACTTGGCTTTCAGCCTGCACACATCCCTTCTCACACGCAGCCCGGTAGCAGTGTCATTCAGGTTCCTGGAAACCTCAGCAGACACGAGAATCGCCTGCCCGAGCGCAGCCCAGTGGCCCCCTTGCACTCTAATTCACAACCACAATTCAGAAATGCTGCACAAGCCAGAGGCACCCTTTAGCAAGAAAATGTTACCACTCTCATCAGCCTAACCATCTACAGGAAGGGCAAAGGACTTCCTCTCAGTAAGGTCACAGGCCATGTCAGAGAGGGTCAGGTCAACAAGTGAAAAGATTGGTGAGCCCAGATTCCATGCAGTTACTCATCACAAAGGCCTATGCCACGAACCCTGCAAAATAGGTACACTGCCTGATGCAGTGGAGCGGACAGTTTTGAACTTTGTGCTATGTCGTTAGCCAGCACTGCAAAAATTTGAGGCATTGGGCTCTAGGAATGATTTCAAGGTTGCAAAGGAAGAACTGAGGTGAGTGGGGCTGAGAGGCATACTGATTTCTACGTCGATTTCAAGTCAGTGCTCACTCAGTGTTACTCTCCAGATGCCTCACACACGCACCCTCATAGGCATCCATTTGGTGTTCGCTCCCAAATCCATTGCCAAATCCCCACTCCAGGTGAAAGGATATTCTGTGGCTTTAATCTCTTCAGTTATTAAGGGACTTTTTCAGAAAATCCAGAGTCCGCCCTCGTTGGCCCTTCACCTGATTTTGGTCCTGTGAGGTTGCCCCTCTACGGGATCACTCAGTTTGCCAGTAACCTGTTTCTAGTCATGTGCTCAATAGGTCAGATCACTACTTTATTATCTGGCAGGCTGAATGCCCCCACATCCTTTATATCCCAGTAGTCTGATGTTCACCTTTTTAACATGTCCAGTGTGGTGAGCACGCCCCAGGAACTGGGTTTTGCTGATTTTCTGGTCCCTGACCTCCAGCAATCTCCATTCTCTCTCAATCTCTGTCTCCCTCCCGCTCCCAACACACACACATGAGATTATGAACATCTGTTCTGCTTAGATTGAACCCATATTTTACAAGTGTCTTTGAACAGGGACCTTTACATCGGAGGCGTGTACAACTGGAACATGATATGGTGGTTTCATGATTTTAATTACCTAATAAATGAAGTTAATTTATTTTAATGCTATTTAGATGGTTAAGTAATAAAACTTGTTCAAACAATTCAGAGTGGTTTTGGCAAAATAGTATTTTCTTGAATTAAAGGATTTGGTTGGACACCCAGTGACCTAAAATACACTCTTCAGAGGAGGTGAAACAGCAAACACAGACAGGTAGTGTGGGGTGGGAACAGGGGCCGCTGGGTAGAGGGCAGGGCAGGTGCCTATATTGACACTGCACACCTGAGCAGCTGCCACCTGAACATGCTCCTGTCCCATGGCTGGCCTGTCCCAGTGCAGTGGCATCAGACTGAGGAATCTAGACCTCTTTGTTGGAAATGAAGCTAGAATTTCAGAACCACAAAACCTAAGGACATTTTGAGAATTTCCCTTCCTTAATACCTGCAGAACTTACCTGCTCCCCTGCACCCCTATGCCCCCGCCTTGTTCTGTCCCTCCTAACTTCTCCTGCCCAGGTTTCAGCATCTCCAGGATGCTTGGATATGGGTTCTGGAAACTTCCTCCTGGCAGCAGAATAGAGGGTGGAGTAGAGGGGCCCATACCTTTAGGGGCTCCCCAAGCCTTTTAGGACAGCATTCCAACTCTTTTCTTTTCTTTTTTAAAAACTTTATTTATTTATTTAAAGTATATCTTTATTGATTTCAGAGAGAGGAAGGGAGAGGAGAGAGAGAGAAACATCAATGATGAGAGTCATTGATCAGCTGCCTCCTGCACAACCCTACTGGGGATGGAGCCTGCAACCCAGGCATTTGCTCTGACCCGGAATAGAACCGCAATCTCCCGGATCCTATGCGGATGCTCGACCGCTGAGCCACGCCTGGCTCGGCCCAGCTCCTTTCCTACAGGGGTAGCAGCCACGGCCACCGCCACTGGCCACAGGCCCTTCTCACGGCCACAGAAGCACCAGCTCTTCCAGTCACGCCCTCGCACGTCAAACCTCGCGGGAGGAAGGGGGCGGGGCGCCCAGAGGCCCCGCCCACGAGAGGGCACGCCTGCGTGCTTGAAGCCGCGGCGGCCATCTTGGACCCTGGCAGCCTGCCCCCCTCACGGCCTCTTCACCGGCTGCGGGCGCGGCAGGTGCGTGCGGGGGCGGAGAGGAGACGGGACACCCCTCCCCACCTAACCCCCCGCCGGCGGGCGCTGCAGCGCCCAACCCTGCGGCTTCCGTGTGAAATCTCTGGCCAGTATTATGGGGTATGTGCTGGCTCCCAGCCCTTTCGTACCTGATGGTGACTGAGCAGGCACCTCAGTTTCCTTATCTGTAAAGTGGGCGTTTGCGTCCCCCTGCCCCCAGGTCACTAAGTATACGTGATTGGGTGTGGATGGTAAAGTCTCAGCACGAAGCCCCGTATGTTTCGTGAATGTCTGNCGAACCGCAATCTCCCGGATCCTATGTGGATGCTGGACCGCTGAGCCACGCCTGGCTCGGCCCAGCTCCTTTCCTACAGGGGTAGCAGCCACGGCCACCGCCACTGGCCACAGGCCCTTCTCACGGCCACAGAAGCAGCCGCTCTTCCAGTCACGCCCCGCACTTCAAACCTCGCGGGAGGAAGGGGGCGGGGGGCCCAGAGGCCCCGCCCACGAGAGGGCACGCCTGCGTGCTTGAAGCCGCGGCGGCCATCTTGGACCCCGGCAGCCTGCCCCCCTCACGGCCTCTTCACCGGCTGCGGGCGCTGCAGGTGCGTGCGGGGGCGGAGAGGAGACGGGACACCCCTCCCCACCTAACCCCCCGCCGGCGGGCGCTGCAGCGCCCAACCCTGCGGCTTCCGTGTGAAATCTCTGGCCAGTATTATGGGGTATGTGCTGGCTCCCAGCCCTTTCGTACCTGATGGTGACTGAGCAGGCACCTCAGTTTCCTTATCTGTAAAGTGGGCGTTTGCGTCCCCCTGCCCCCAGGTCACTAAGTATACGTGATTGGGTGTGGATGGTAAATTCTCAGCACGAAGCCCCGTATGTTTCGTGAATGTCTGTGAGCCTTGCCTGCAGGAGGCTGCCGGGTACCTCGTAGCCGCCACTCTTCCCGCCGCCCCGGCGGGGGCACGGGGCCTCCGTGACTGCGCCCGGTTTGAAGGCCAAGTTGGAGGGGCTGGGAATTGGAAAGACTCCCTCAGGGGAATGAAAATTAGGCCCCCGGAGCCCTTTAGGACTTGCATGTGACCATTTTGGAAGGGTGTCAGAGAGACTAGGATGCCCAGGACTGGTAAGACTGTAGATTTAAACGCCCCCATGATTGTTATTTTTATCACCTCTGCTACCTCCCCGCAGGGACTCCCATGCAGCACAGAATTGCTGGAATGAAAAGCTGTGTGTGTGTGCTAGCTGTGGGGGACAAGGGGAAGCGGGAGCTGGGACACTGTGTCCCAGGCAGAGCCAAGCGTGGGTGGCGGCCCCAGGAAGGAGAGGAATTCAGTCCAGGCCTGAGGTGGCTTGTGGGGGTCCCCAGACATGCAGCCACCCCACCAGCTCGCAGCCAGAGCCCAATGGTTTGGGGTCCGCTAACTTCAGAGGGGGTAGAAAACTTGCCTAGAACTCAGAAATGAGGGACGTGCCCAAAAAAGGGGCTAAAGAGGTGAGGAAGGGCCAAGGAGTCCTAGGGGGCTGGAGAACCACAACCAGCCTTCTATGGGATTCTGGAAGCCAAAGAGGAGATGTTATTCAGTAATAAACCAGGTGAATGTCAGGCATGCCCAGGATCCCTCAGTCCATCCTGATGGAAAGAGGGCTAGCAAAGGATACAAAAATTACCAGTGGGAATGGGGGATGGCAGTTTGTTTTCAGACACTCTCAGAGGGTGGGGGTGGCCAGTGGGCTCCAGCTGCATCCCCTCCCTGCATTTGGCTTAATCAGCAATTTCTCTTCCCAAATTCCTAGACTGTGCAAGATAGACAAGGCACTCCCACCCCCACCCACAGGAGGGGCTAAGGCAGATGAGTGTAGAGGGTGGGGTTTTGGGGTAGAATTCAAGTATTTATTCACAGTTGCCCCTCCACACCCCCAGATTACACTGTGCCCAGGCCATGAGGGAGGATCCCAACCTTGGGGTTTCTAGTGATGTTAATAGCCCTCTCAGAAACCTCAAGATTAGTGCCCTACCCCCTTTCCCTGACAATAACAAACCAGTCCTAAACCCTATAGTCTGCGCAAGGAGGAGTCCTCAGTACTCCACTCGCCCAAGGCCTCTTCCCTACTTATATGGAGTGAGGAGGGCAGGCGGCCCTCACAAGTAATGAAGGCATGGGGAGCAAGTGGTGAGGGGAAGGGAGAGAACTGAGGACCTCAGGAGGCAGCTCTGGAGGGACCTGGTGGTCCCTCACCTCACACCCTATATCCCTGAGAGTCCACTTGCCAAGGTAATATGGGTGGGTGGGGGACAGCTGAGTAGGTCCTTGTCCCCCAACCCCAGACAGTCCTGTTCAGGTGACATGATGCTTTGGAAGGGCCAAGACTGGGCTCCAGGCCCAGCTCTCAAGCTCTTATGTTCCAAACAGCTGATCCTGGGGAACACAGGGTAGGCCTACTAACCCCCAGACCCCAGATGTCCTGGCTTGGGGCAGAGTGGTGGGAATGAGGGGGGTGTCCTCCTAAGGGTATTATAAAAAGCTAAAACCGTTAAAAACTTCTTGGGGAAAAGTGCCTCCCAGCTTCTTGCTTCCCCAAGTTATCAATCTCCCCAAAGCCTTGCAGACAGAGCTGAGCCCAGAGACGGGGCCAATTAGCACCATGCAATGTTGTGGTGCCCCTGCAGCCTGACTGACCCCAGGCGGGGGCCCTTCAAAGCTGGAGTGCCCACTTACTAAAGCTTCTGTACTCTTGAGGGGGGAGCCCTGCAGGGGAGGGGACGAGGGAAGAAGGCTTTGCGGAAGTCCAGGCAGGGGTCTCAGCTGGTACCCCAAAGGGCCCCTCCTGGGGTCATGACTTGAAGAATTTTCGTACCACAAGCTGGCCCAACAGAACCACAGCCAGAACTATCAGCACATTCCGGATGGGGCCGTTGCCCAGGTCCAGGGCTGCCACCTGCCAGGAGGGACAGAGAGGTCATCAGAGGGGCTGGCAGTGTATACAGGCAACGAAAGACTGGGTGGGCTGGGAGAGGGGCAGACCCGGCAGCAGGGGGAGGCTGCCAGTGGTTCTGGGCACTCACCCAGCCGCCCCTCTGTGCAATCCACCGGGCAATGCAGTGATGCAGCATAAAGTCGACCACGAAGCGGGTCACCTGGCCCAGGAAGCCGGTCAGGCCGTGCTGGTAGACGTACAGGGCCAGGCGGTAGCCGAAGCCCAGGAGAGCCACCACCCGGCCCCAGTTGATGCCGCTCTCAAACAGGCTGCAGGCAAAGCATGGAGGCCATCAGTGGAAGCCCCCAGGGAGGCCTGCTTTCCCTCTCCCACCCCTTCATCCCCCCAACCCTCTCCCAGCTGGAAAGCAAAATGGCTTAGCTGTGACTCAAGGTGGCAGAGGCTGCCCCAGCCTGGCCGCTGTTTGGGAAGAGCCTGCGTCTCTGTGAAAGAAGAAAGCTCAGAGGGCGCAGGAAGGGGCTGCCGCCACCGTGGGACCCCAGTGCTACAGGCTCAAAGGGCACAGGGCAGAGCTAGCAGACAGAGGCAGCAAGGAGATTACCTGTGGGCGTTGCCGCTGGCCTGGCAGCCCGAGGGACAGCAGAGAGACAAGGACAGAAGAGGAGGTTAGGACAGATCCTGGAATCACAGCAGCGTGGGGGCTGGCCTCTAAGGACACGGGCAGGGCACTTCAGCTGAGCACTAGTTCTAAATCTACTGCCTTCTACCCGCCCCAGCTTCAACTCTGCCCTGACCTGGGTGGCAGCCATGGCTAACACCTTGTAGGTGTGGACACTATTCTCAGCACATTCCCCCCATTTTATGCATGAGGAGAAAGAGGGCTGGGAAGTTTCACGAAGCCAGTAAGTGGCAAAGCCGAGATATGACCCAGGCATTTGGTCTCTAACCAGCACAGCTGATTGCCTGTTCCGGGACCTGGGAGCAGGTGGCAGAATTCCCATCTTTGGTATGAAATGTGGGTCTAAATAAGGGCAGCTGTGTCCTAGCTGGGTCAGGCTGCTCTGGGGACATGCCCACCCGGGCACCTCCGCTGCCCTGATCTAAGCGGTCAAGTGCTCAGTGCTGAGCTCACAGCGCTGCGAGCTCATGCACTGGAAATGAGTCTGGGACCCAGGAAGCAAAGCCGGGTCCAAGGCCACATGTGAATTAACAGCAGACATGGGGACAGCAAATATCTCTCCTGACACTGGCAGAGAAGTGTGTGTCTCCCACCCCCTGGGCAGGGCACAGTGTGGTGCACGGCAGAGAGGCAGTGGCGGGGATACCTGGAGGCGATCTTGGTGAAATACTCGTAGGCATTCTCGGCAGTTGGCTGCAGGTGCTGCAACATGGTCTGGAACTCCTCGTCATAGCGCTGGTTGATGGCATCCCCAATGATGGCGAGCCGCTGGCCCACCTGTGCCATGGTGCTGGAGGCAACAGGTGAGCAAGGGACAGCAGTCAGGGCTGGGGCCCAGGCTCTGGGCCAGGGCTTCTGCCCAAGATGCCCCTGGCCTTGTGCACCCCTCCTCGGAGGTCTCGAGAGTGTTCTTAGATACGAGGGTCCCCCGTGGGAGTGGGAGCCCAAGATGAAAAAGGAGCAACAAAGAGAGAAGGGCAAGACCACCCCACACCCCAGGCCTCCCCAGCTCCCAGGACCTCCGTGGTGACCCGGTGACCCTCTGCCTCCTTAAAGATGTCCCTGTGGGGCTGCTGCTCACCTGGCAGGTTCTAGGGACAAGGCGACCATCTCTGGGTCAGCAGGGGCAGCCGCCCCTTCAGCTTCCAGCTCCTGCTGATGGCGGTAAAAAACGTAGCTGCGGAAAACCTCCTCAGTGTCCTGGGCTACCTGCTCCTCTGAGGATCAAAGCCGGGAGTCAGGGAGGAAGGGCTAGCCCTTCCTGGTAGCCCTGTGCTTTGGGGATGGTTACTCTTCCTCAAGGCCACAGCTGTCCTTGCCCCTGGACAGCAGGCTCCCTTAGTTAACACCCAGTGCTTACTCTGTGCGGGTTAGTCTCCTGGCACTTCCCATTTAATCCTCAAACAGCCTTGTGAAGTAGGTGATCTCCACTTTACAGATGGGGGAACTGAGGCTGGGGTGGGGGCGTACGAACTTGCACAAGTTCGAGCAGTGGAGCCAGGATATAACCCCAGGTATTTGTTCCCCGAGTTTAGTGTGCACAGTGGACCCAGCCCTTACAGCTTAGGGAATGTGGGGCCATAAACGTCACATAGGGAAATAGTGACAGACCTGGGACTGAACCCAAAGTCCAGGGAACAGCCCGATGGTCCCCTTGGAAGAGGGAAGGGCAGCCATCTTACTTCCTCCCCAAAGTCCTGACAATCTTCCCTGTCGAGCAGACCTGGCTCCAGATAAGCCAACCACTTCCTTATTTCTCCTGCTGCAGGGAAAGGCCAGCCACGCCCCACTCTTCCTCTCCTCTCCCCATCCCAACCCCTGCCGCCCGGGGTGGCACTGTGCCCACCGCAGGCTCACTCCCACCCCCTCCCAGCCTCTGCAACCCCTCAGGCCCAGCCTCCTCCCTGCTCCCCAGGCTTAACCTTGATCTCACTCTAGCCTTTGCGCCCAGTAGGCCACCTGCATTGGGTAGAGAGAGATTTTCTCCTGTATCCAAGGTGAGTTAACTGAGGCGGGAGAGCCGGCCCATAAGCCCCGCCCGGCCCTGTCCACTTCCGTTCTCTGTGTCCTCACAGACGGCCCTAGTGGTTATTGGATGGGTGAGAGGCAGAAAGACCTTACCCGAAGTAGAGGACTGGGCAGGCTCTTCACATCCCTGCCGGGGAGGGCCTGGTCCTTGCCCAGAAGCCATTTTTCAGGTCCCAGTGGAGGGCAGTGTTAGCCTCTGGGAATGGGTGAGAAAAGCAAAGATGGGGACAAGAGGTTTGCACAGCTGCACAGTGGTGAGGTGGCCCTGACTCCCAGGAAGACCCCACAGTCCAGCTCCAGCCACTTGCATTTCACTGGCAGCTCTTCAGGGGAGTTCAGGGGTAACAAAAGCAAAGCAGCCAAGATTCACAAGCAGGAACCTGCACCTGGCATCCAGGGCCCCAGGAGTGGCCGCAGCAGTGCCCTAGTGCTTCTCAAGTCAGTTCCACTCACTCCTGGAGCTTCCTGTACCCTGCCCAGCACACGTTTACCGCAGGCTTGCCACCTTCCAGCCAATGACCTGTGAGGCCATCCTTGAAGGTCCCACTTCCCCTTGACTGGTCAGAACACACCTGTTTTCCAACTCAGGCCTGTTAGACACAAACATTTCTGAGCACCTATGGTATACTTCTACCATGTGTTAACACCCCCCAGGGGGTGTCAGACACGGAAATCACACATTAACCCAGCAAGGTAAGCATCACACCCATTTTACAGGTGGGAAAAGTGAGGCACACAGAGATTAGTGCCTGAGGCCACATAGCTAGTCAAGAGTCAGGTTGTTCAACACATTTAAGATTTATTTTCCAGTCTGGCCGGGCGTGGCTCAGCGGCTGAGCATCGACCTAGGATCCAGGAGATTGTGGTTTGATTCCCAGTCAGGGCACATGCCAGGGTTGCGGACTCGATCCCCAGTCGGGGGCATGCAGGAGGCAGCTGATCAATGACTCATCACTGATGTTTCTATCTCTCTCTCCCCCTCTCCCTTCCTCTCTCTGAAATTAACAAAGATATATATTTTTTTAAATTATTATTAAAAAAATTTATTTTCCAGTTTGTGGATCTCAGCGAGTGTTCCTTCTAGGGCAGCTGTCCTTGGTTATGTCTGGCCTGTGCCTTCCCATTCCTGCCTCGCAGTCAGGGCCTCCAGCACAGCCCCCAACCTGCCTCATGTTGCCACCCCCTCACCCCACATTTGCTCTCCTGCCCAAATCTGCTCTGTGAACCCTTGACACAGGGAGTAGTTCCAGGATGTGAGCTGTTTCACTTTCAATTTGCACCCCTGACACCCAAGCAGCCTCCATCACCCAGGCAGGAGTGCTCCTCCCTCCACCTCTGGGAAGGGTACAGGCCCACCCTGGCCAGGCAGAGCCATTCTTTCTCCCTGGGAGACCCAAGTACCCTCCCCAGCTCCCTTTTTCTCAGGCCTGGACTATTTGTGAAAGTGCCCCAAAGGCTCTCCAGAGGGCGTGGGGGAGGGCTAGACCACTGGTGCACTCAGCTATCCACTACTCCTTTCTGAGGGGTGGGCAGGGAGAAGGCATACGCTCCCCCACCTCAAAATAGGCCTTTGCCTAGCACACCCCCATCCCCAGCTCCTTCCGGAAGACGCCCTTGCCTCTCCCTGGTCCCCCAAACCCAGCACCCCAGGACAACAGGACCGGAGGATGCTGACTGCATCTGCAACTCCCTTTCCCACCACCCCAGGGCTCAGTGCTGGAGAGCGGGTGGAACCTCAGCACAGCCCCAGAACCAGGGGCCTCTGCCGAACTGGGCCTACCCCTGCCCCCGTCCAAGTGGCATGACTTCCTGGTTAGGGGAGTCCCCTGTACCCCACCTACTGGGTTTGCTGAGCCCAGGATTTTCCCCAGTGGAAATGTCTGGTAGGGCTGCAGACCCAGTCTAGGGATCCTGGGTTCCTGGGCAGCAGGAAGTGCAGTTAGAGTTCTCCCCCAGCCCTTGACCTTGGCTGTGACCTCCATTGCTGTCCCCCAGACTGCTAAAAGACTTGGTTCTCCGGCACCGATTCTCAGGCACCCAGGGCTAGGGCAGGAGGGGCAGCCAGGCGGAGCCCCGGCTGGATCAGACGCCCAGCAGGGGTGGTGGAAGCGGCCTGGGCAAACCTCCCCCTCCCCACCCGCTCCCTGTGGTCTCCCTGCCTGGGGTGGCCGAGATTGCAGAGTATGAGCAGGACCCTCCCTGCTTACCTACCCGGACCCTGGCCTAGGCCCGGGAAGGCTCAGTGGGACCGAGGCTGGAAATCCCCAGGGGCTGTTCCAGGGTCAGATGCCCAGGCGCGGCTTCCAGGAATGGGTGTCAGTGGATTCCTGGTGTCCGGATGCAGCGTCTGCTGGTCCCAGGGCGGCCCTGGGGACCCAAGAGGCTCGGGGAGCGCAGAGGAGCCGGCAGCTCCCGCCTCCAATCAGCTCGCTCTAGAGGAAGTTGCTCCTAGGCGGCCGGATGCGGATGTCAGGTCTCCCGGCGGGGGCGTCTGTGCTCACCCCCAACCCGCAGCCCCCACCGGCCCAGGGCTCCTCCTCCCCCGCTGCTTTTCCCATCCTCGATCCTCGATCTTTTCTCCCTCCCCTCGGTCAATACCAGTAAAAGGGCAGCGATGCTTCTTAAGCGCCGCCAGGCACTTCAGCAAACACTGTCTCCTTGAATCTTAACGAGTCTTGGAAGTGGGTGCCATCAACTACGTCCACTGCACAGACGGGCCAACTGAGGCTCAGCCGGTTTAACCGAGCCTGGAGGTGCCATGGGAATAGCAATACTCAATTGAGATTCAGCGTGCAGCTAGGTACCGGGCACCTCAGTGGTGGTCTCTGGAGGTAGAAATCCTGGTGAAAGCAGGTAAACAGATGAAAATACAGTGAGGATTTCTGCTTCCCCCAGGGAGAACGGGGCACTGCAGTCGGGAGTCGCTTCAAGTTTGTGGATGCTGGTATCAACTTGAAAGATCCTATGTTCAG